CTTTCAGTGGTGAGTGAATTTTCTTAGCCGTATGGTGATCGGCTTACAAGTGATGGAGCTTCAGAACAGACACCTGCTATGTTCGTTCTAATCCTGTAGGAACCTACGGAATGGGAAATTATTCAAGGTTCACATAATGTAAGTGATGGACTGGATCCAACTCAACAGTCTTCCAGCGGTGAGTGAATTTTCTAAGCCGTATGGTGATCGGCTTGCAGGTAATGGAGCTTCCAACTTAAAATTGACAAAAAAAAACTTTTAAGTCTCACGTTACCATGTTTCCATGACAAGAAAAAATGGAATAGACAACCTCTTAGACAAAAGGAATAGACCCTAATAGACAAGGACTATTATCATTTTGTCTACTCAGTCAGACTGTATGTAAGAGATGTGATGCAGTTGAATGGACTTTAATCCAACTAACCCTTCTCGATCCGGCCAAAAGAAGAGTGAATGCAAAACTTTCTAGTTCATAGAAATGCGTTCTGATGCGAAACTTTATATGGGCTAATGTGTGTATCTGTCTGTCTGGGGCCATGAATTTACGCGGAGCTTTTCTTCTCAGTCCAAAAAAAATATTCAGCAAAGTTTCGCATCAGAGGAAAGAACGAGTGGGTCGCTTATTGGCGATCAAACATTATCACCTCGAAAAGTTTTTGGTAAGCTGTATGGCGTTTCTTGTCGGTGTGGAAAGTGAAGTGTGTCAAGCGATGAAGGGGAGGCGTGTTGACAAGTTGAACGTTGAAGTTGCATAGCTTAAAAGTCCGAAATAGTTACTTTCGTAAAAGAAGTGAGCACGACGTACATACTTATAAAAAGTAGCTATGCACGTAGCTGGAAGGCAGGTTGCATCGGCACGCTTTTCTAATGTCAGTTCAAGTTATAAAATCGGCTGATCACAAACACGAGATTGGTATGGCTTCGTTAAACAACATACGCAAACTTCGTAACCCATAAATATGCGTTCTGATGCGAAACATTATATGTGCTCATGTCTGTCTGTCTGTCTGTCTGTCTGTCTGTCTGTCTGTCTGTTTGTTTGTCTGTCTGTCTGTCTGTCTGTCTATCTAGCGGTCTGAGGTGAGGTGGTGCTCTGATCGAAATCATAAGAGAAGTGAAAATTGTGAAGGACTAGATTGTAAGGCTCGTCACAAATATCTTGTCTCCGACTCAACCGAAGTGGTCCAAAACTTCAGAGAACAATGATCCCCGGTACCGACTTCTTTTGTTACTTTACATTTTTTCGAACTCACTCGCTTGGTCCGATTGACCACAGGAGCATGGCGTCCGGGTAGCAAAAGATATGTGCCTTCCATCCGGGTCTACCTTCAGTATTTAAGGCTCGACGGTTTTGTTTTTTCTGTAGAAATCTTGAGAGTGGATTACATTTCTGTGCAATTAGTCATAAAAATGATTACGGTAGTTACTCAACACTGTATATCAAATTGGTTCTTTCATTTTAACATTCTGAAACTTTCTGAGGACATGCGATAAATCTGGGCGGATGTGGTGCAGTGGCAAGTGGCGCATCATCCCACGCGCATCGTCACGGGTTCGGATTCCGGATTTATGCCCGCCTAGACCAACCAAATATTTCATGTTTCGTCCCTCCGGGTACGATTAACTGGAAACAGACTCGTCTGGGAGGATACACTGACTTGTACATCGGCTACCACTAGTCATTGTATCGGCCACATATTCAATAGCTACTACGATTCTGGATGGAAGTCGAATAGGGAAGGAGAAGGAGGTGGGAAGCGCATCTCTCAGACGAGATCGATTAGCGCCTAAGGACTTAATTTTCCATGATAAATCTATGAAAAAGATATCAAGTAAAAGAAAAAGCTTTTTGAAGCTTGCTATCCGTGAATCAGTATCTGTCCGAGTACTCAAACAGTCTTGACGGTCGCAATTTCGTCACCCTAATGAGTTTGAACCAACGTGCCAGCTTTTCCGCGCCAGATGGGGACCAGGACATGAGCAACTACGAGTGAGACTTTGGAAATGCACTGTTTTTTACTGGCTGGCCGCTGCCAGTTAATGTTAGTCCAGTCGAGCACTCAAACGCCACCGCGACCTTATGAAAGCCGGTCCGAGTGCGCATTCCAAATGAACATTGATCAACGTAAGTAAAACTTTTTTCGCTATGGTCTTGCTGAGAAGATCTACGAAAGAAAGTTAGCTGCAAAAATAGAGGGAGGGAAATCCTTTTTAGAAATTTCGTTGGATGCAAGCAATTTTCGGGGGCGTCAAGGGAAATGGTTTTGGCATTAGCTGTCATTGTTGCCCAAGGCCATCCCGCACAATACACTAGGCCTGCACTGCGGCTGCAGAGTGTGAGCCCCTTGTGATATCTAACGAGCGCTAGTTCCGCAAGCGAAATTTTTGCCACCTGATCCAACATGATACACCCACACTTGTTGAAACTTATTCTTTGTAAGGACGGAGAACTCAATCCCAGGCAAAAAAAAAAAAATGGAAGCGGATTTGAACCAATGATTTGGCTGAATTTCTTTCGATCTTGGACAAAAGCATTGAGTTTAATAAAATAGCTACCGCTTGAAAAATTCCCACTCGATGAAGAATTAGCAAAAGCAACATACCCATACCTGAATGACGTACCGAGAGTATTGGTAAGATTTCGTGAGTGGATGTCGTGATTATGAAAATCAAATATACCCTATCAAACCTCACTTAATTATTCTTGTCACGTAATCGGCAGCAACTATTTTGCCAATCCGCGGTTCTACGAAAGAAAGGTCGATTAAAGCCCAAATGAATCGAAGAAGTTTAAGGTTCGGTAGAATCGCTTTGAGAATTGGATTTCTTCTTTCTTGAATTCTAAGTGTTCAATTCCATGTGTGTCTAAGTGGGTGGGAGATGAACAACTGCTGAAGGGTATCAGGCTGAAAGAGAAACTTTTGAAAGTAGTAAATTCCAAGCAGGAAAATCGGCCCAACTTATGTTTTCCTCAATTATTCAGTCTGGTCTCGTGCCATAAAGTTGAGTGTGGACATTTCCTAAGGAGGGTTTGTGCGTTTACTATGACAGAATTTTCTAGCATGCCTAAAATCAGTGAAGCAGTGTTAATTGGTCTGTTTTTCGAGCTGATTTCAGGTTGCTTTTTTGCCGGGAGAGCTTCAAGCCTACTATTTTCGCATTTCAAACCAGATGGACGGTCAGTGGATAATGATTCACTGGACTGTTTTCGTACTCCTTCAAAATTCGAAATCGTATAATAGCTAAGCTGTGCTGTACCAATGGGAACAACGCTACATACATGGAGGACGCTATAATAGTTAGATGCGCTGGTGAGAGAAGGCTCTATTTGAATTGCAGTTCATTCGTAACAGTTCCTAAAACGTAGGCAAGCGTTACTATGCAAAAGATCGAGCACTTGTCTGTTGCTCACTACTGCATTCATCCTTTCGATAGCAACTCATCATTTGAATATTTCGTACTGCATGTTCACTTCTTCTTTACAACTGTATTTGAAGTTATTCGCAACGAGGGCTCTGAATCACTTTAACTGACATCAAGGCTCAGAGATCACTTCTCCTTAATGATCTTCATGCACTTTGACTGTCTAAAACTGGACTTCTCTCTGATAGTGCTTGTTCTTAACTTACCGGGGCTGAGGATGTGTTGAACTTGTTCATGTAATGACTTTGCTTCGATGTAAGTTCAAACAAACCTTCGAGTGAGCTGCCCTAGAATTACAAGCTCACCTAATTACACTTTCGCTCCTGTCCCTCATTACTTACAAGGTTCGGAGACGTAATGTCGTTTCTTCGAGCGTACATATCTGAGTCTCCTTCTGACCTCTGTTTTTCTTTATTCGGTTCACGTATCCAACAAAGCAAGGACTGCCCGCTCTCTAGTTGCCCGCTTGTTCTCATCGGGTAAATCTTGTCCCTGACCTCCGTTGAATTGGTTTTTTCTTTCCTTCAGTAATTCACCCCGTCTTGTAATCAGGTGGTGCTTCTCGCACCGACTAACTTACTTTACACTTCATACTCAAGGTATTATCCGCACAATTTTATGTACTAAATTTTAAGAAGATAAATATATTAGCGATACCTTCTACATGAGAAAAAATTGACAGGAATTTTTTGGGAACAAATAATTCCAAAAAGTAGCTCTCGAATCGAAGAAAATGACGAGTTACCAGGAGACTAACAAATTTTTTTCTATTAGGTCGTGAAGAAAGTTCTTGCGGTTTTGCGCCTTAAACTTCAAATGCATACATCTCGGCTTGAACGAAACTTCATCAATCGAAATAACAACCATTACTATCGACACACTTTTGTTAACGAAAAACAAGTTCGAGTATCCCATTCGCACAGAAGTCCGGAAATCTAGAGGCGATGAAATCGTCGAATGCCGCGGCAGCATCATGTTGGGTTTTGAAGCATTTCTCCTTGAGGAAGCGTCTAGATGTTTAAAGAAATGGTAGTCTATGGGAGCAAGGTCTGGGGAATATGGTGGATGCGGGAGAGCTTCATAGCCTAGCTCCATCAATTTTCTCAGGGTAAGTTGTGCGACGTGAGGCCGAGCGTTGTCGTGGAGTAGAATTAGCCCCCTCCTATTCACCAGTGCCGGGCTCATGAGCTGGAGTTTTCGATGCATTTCGTCAATTTCTTGGCAGAACTTTTCGGCTGTTACGGTTTCTCCCGGCTCCATGAAGCTGTGGTGGATCAGCCCGACTGCAGACCACCAAACACCACCATGACCTTCTTTCCATGCTGCTTCGGCTTGGGAAAATGTCGTGGGGCTTGCTCCTTGTACAGCCACTGGCCTGATCGTCGCCGGTTGTCGTACAGAATCCTTTTCTCATCACACCTCACAATACGGTCTAGAAATGGATTGTTCCTGTTGCGCAGAAGCAAGGCGGAGGCGAGCTCGTAGCGGCGGTCTATCTGGTGCTGAGTCAACTCATGCGGCACCCACTTATCGAGCTTCTTCTACTTCCCGATCTCATGCATGTTGACGCCAACCGTCCTGCTGAAAACACTCAATCTTGAGCCAATATCCTTCAGCGTTGTACGTGGATTCTCTTCCACTAACGCTCTCAATTGTTCGTTGCCAACAGCCGATGGCCGCCCACTGCGCTCATCATCTTTCAGGCTCTCATCACCGGTACGAAATTTTTCAAACCACCACTGTGCTGAGCGTTTTCATCGTACCTAGATCTAAGTCATCGTTGATATCCCGGTCCGTTTCTGTTGCACTCCTGCCCAATTTGGATTGGAAAAGAAAAATCATGCGGATCTGTCGTTTGTCCATACTGATTTCGACCTTCTAAAAAACCCAGGAATCACTCCAGGGCAAAACCGATTATATATTTGGATAGGGCAAGAAATGCGCTCCAGAATGGTATAAAACTTGCGAAAAATCTAATAGCAAATAACTTCTCGGCGAGCATTTGGAAATTGGGCGCCAAAAACCGCAAGAGCTTTCTTCACGACCTAATAGTTTGAATTAGCCTGTACCAAATTGACTCACTTTTGGAATGCCTTTGCAGACCATGTTTATGTTCTAGAAATCTGTCATCATCGTGAGAAGGTGGAAGAAAGTCGAGAAGAGTAAGCGAATTGAAGAACAGCGATAGATTGATTGTAGGGAATAAGCAACCTATTCCTAACTTGACTTTCCATTGGTAACACATGAAGTACTTTGACTGTTGAAAGCCAATTATTTTGCACGAGCAATAGACTTCTTCCTGGTGCACGAAACAAGGGCTAGCAATGTTCTCCTAGATGGACAAATACGATGACAAGAAGTTTTTTGTTTGTCGGCTATGTCAATGTTTCATTTATTTTTGTACAAGCACGTGAGGGCAACCAAATCGCCGCCATCTATATATTGGGTAGCGCTTACGAAGAAGCCGTCATATTCGAAATGTTGTTGGTTCTCATGTTCCTGGCTTGCATCATACCAAATGTCGCAGCTGAAGGTTGGTTCTTTTAATTTCTCTTACCTACCTGACCGTGCCCCTGAATAATCTGAGACAGTTCGAGCTTTCTACATTCAAACAGCGAAAAAGAAACACTCGTTTCAGACTAATTCGACCCCCTAGTGCAGGAAATAGTAGAGAAAGTGTATATACTTGCAAATGTGAAATGTCAATCACTATTTCACTGCACTCTTTTTTAGCAAATAGTGGTGTTGAGCTCTAGGAGCTGACTAGAGCAGTGGAACATTTTTGCCTCGCCCAGACCCAACCTGTCCAGCTATTGAAATAATTTATTTGCATAAAATAGAGATTACAACAATACATTTAATATATCAAGTCGCACATATGTAAGTGTCGTCTGCCATGAGAGCTACCCTGAGAGCCTCAGAAATAGATTGTAATCCCCGAGACCATTTTCTGCAGAAGTAGCAAAGCCCGCTATATTGTCGAGACCCAACTGCAGAGAGATAGCCTTGCTTGTGACTGATTCTTTGATAAATTGCAGATTGTACTTTAGTCTCTAATCGAGACATTCCTAAGAGCATTAGATTCCTATACTAAGATCTTTTTTTTTCCCATGCGCTCACTCATTTGGCTCACCATTGAAACTGTGGTAGGATTAGGGCTGGTAATGTGGGATAGGAACACTCGGTGAGGAAAGATCCTTTCCACAAGCTTGGAGTAGTTGGCTTTGACATACATCGATCCAGAGTTATCCTGCGAAGCCTCCAGACACTACCCAATCTCCTCTCAAACAGAATTCCGATGGGTGAGAAAGGGCTCCTCATCATGTTGATTTTATGTCAAAACATAAAATCAACATGATGAGGAGACTGGTCTACAAAATTTTTCATGCACGAGAGGAGTGTTTGTCACATTTTCTGAAGATGTTCCGGGTTGTCAACAATCAGGCATAATGTATATTTCCAATCCAACCCATCTTGTTGAAATATCTACCTCTTCATTAGAAACATTCGTTTTCAGACATTAAAGCGACACTAGAGCCTTACTATAAAGAGCTTGAGGAGGCCGTTGAAACTCGAAACATAGGCAAAGCTGTTGAACTCTAACATAGTCAAGGAGTAATTGTCAAGAAAGGCCAATATGTTGTATATGGAAAAGATGGTAAGTGAGTTGTACAGCTGTTAGAAGATATTCATCTGCATTGCCTGTTAATCATCGATTTGCTTGCTCGGGTACCAGTAACGTCACCATTCGTTCCTATCCTGGGCCACTTGAAGCTCACCGAAGCCTCTTCACTTTTAGAACTCTGAGCAAACCATGCCTTCCCATCGAGTTTTCCGAAAAAATTTGAGATCGCGATGATTTTTTGCCTTCAGGGATCACTAAGGACTACGAGGATGTCTGGAGGAGACTAGGTCCGCACACTTTCACGGTAAGTGTCAGCTTTTTCTTTTTGCCTTCTTTCTAATAGTACCGAGTGAAGCGGCGCTCTCAATGGAATGATCGGAAATAAGAAATATCAAGAGCAGGACCCAGTTAATTTAGGTTTGGTAGGAAAGCTCATGTTCTTATACAAGTTTTTACCTTGTCTGATACCTTTCATCGTGTTGGAAAGCAAATTCGCACTTGAAACTAAATTACTTCCCGAGATTCTTGTTAATTAATATCACAACAGAAATTTCGCAATCTTTTCTTTTCCACACAACGTTTTGCTCCGCGCCAACAGCGGTTGAGCTCTTGCCCATGAAAATCCGATAATCACTTTGTTAAGAACACATAGTATTGGGTTGTCCGAGAAGTTCCCGCCGATTTTTGATTCATCTTTGAATGAAAATTCCTAGAAGAAGAAATCCATTGATTGAACAATATATCCTCATTCTGTTCAGTATGGCTTCGCCATCTTCCTGTAGGTTCCAGTTCCCCTCTTCCAAAGAAGGTTCCAGACATAAAATCGAAAAACCCACTTAGGTGCTTTTTGCAGTCCTCCAGCGGATTGAATGATTTTTCATTCAAGGAACTTTGCAGAAACCCGACAAGTGTATTCTGATGGTGCTATGTCTGGACTATATGGGGGGGGGGGG